ATGTTCGTGGAAGTTAATGCATAATTCTTTAGTGCACTTGCTCCATAAGTGCGATGGTTTTTAAAAAGCGACAGTTTTGAGTCATGCATATATTTCTTTTGAAACTCAAGGTTCGAACTTTCTCGCTGTGAATTATGATAGCAGCTAGTAGCTTCTATATTTCAGCAAGGACCATAGCTCTAGAAAACATATTTGGGACTAAAATGAATGATTATGGCTAGATTGTTAAATAAAACTACTAGATAAATTTTACAAATGTTAATAATGAGTTTTTTGACAGCAAATTAAGAAAAAGCTCTTTCACATCCTAATCCATAGTAACGAGCTATAATTAGGCTGGCGTTGTATATTTTGGAACTTGAAACACGTGCCTTAATATAGATACACCAAAAACATTCTAAATGAGAACAGTCAAAGCTTATTTGATGCAATTGCCTTAATATAGATTCAAGTGTATTACTCTGTGTTCTTCTTACTGGTTTTTGAGAATTGCGCCTAAAAAGGTTAGTAAGATTACATCTAAGTACAGATATGTCGCTAAACAAAGAGTGCCCCAAAAAATGTGCCCACTGTCTGATATTGCAAAACCCTTTAGAATTTTGTATGGGCAATATTTTGAAAAGCTAACTCGAGTATTTCCATCTATAAGCGGCGATTGCAGTGGGAATAGAGTGCAAATAGGCGCTTTTGAGCCGTGACAACCTCTTTACTTTGACACAAGAGCAAACGATATAGAACCTCGATCATACTTCGGAAAAGCATGATAATTAACGCAACCTCTTTGTGAAAGTCAATAATGCCTAACATACAGTGAAAATGAAACAGTTTTGAACCATATATCTGATGTAATAAAAAGAGGTGCAAGATTTTTTAGTGCAAATTTAATTTCGAGCTAGTACTTTAAAATAAATTGTTACCTAAAACGGACTTAGAAATGGGGAAGTTTTGAGGATCGATTTTTGCGAGGCCCGTCTTATCATGGACAGACGAACACATCGACATACAAAACTAATGTTTTGTTGCACTACTTTCAATTCGTAAAACTCATCTCATGCTAATTTTATTTGGCTTATTTTATCGTAAGTCAGACGATAACGACACACTTTCGAGTATATCGGTCCATGCAACATTGGGTTTTTGTTTAGGATATTTCAAACATTGTGAACTATGGCTGCATTACGTTCACTGTGATCGCTCTCGGCAACACGGGAATTACTCAAGATATGATGTTCCTGTACTACTCCACGTATACGCAACGGTTATTTGTAGTTCCTGGATATAACTGCATTACAAGACTTGATGTGAGGTCTTATTAACAAAGTCGCAAAATATCACTCGTTCAAAGTCTTTAGTGTTCTCTCTTTGTGTACATTTTTTCACATGCCCCTAAAGCAGTCCAGTAAGTTTCAAAATTCCTCTCGCATATTTTTCTAGAATTGCGTGAGACCATGTGGCACAGAAGGTGCCACTGACTGCCAAAATGAACAACTGTCAAACTGTCCCTATCCTACAACTCTCTCTACTACGATGGTTACCACAACAGGATTTCGAACGACGACCACCGTAAGATTACTCAAGTTTCTGCGATGTCCTACATATCCATGTACGATCAATCATTTGAGACCACGCCAGATCCGAGTCTGAGCGATTATTGGCATATTATCTATCTCTTCGCGCTTTCC